GACTGATAATACTATATAGTTAGTGTAAAATAAAAATCTATATTGAAATTAATGTACAATAGTCGTATATTGCAATAAATGTTCAAAAGCATAGAATATTATAACAAATGTTCAAATGTACACAGCAAACCACATATTTATTGGCTGCAAAATATTCTGTACTTCACACAGTCTCTCTTTAAAATTATCCCGTCTACAAAATATAAATCATTTGTAAATCTAAAGACTTAATTGAGTACCTAATAGATAATTGTTTTAAAAGAGCGACGTGCCCTGTCGCCAGCTCACTAGTGAGTACCTAATAAATAATTGTTCTAAAAGAGCGACGTGCCCTGTCGCCAGCTCACTAGGTGGAGAGACATTAGTACAAGATTTGTATTAACGTCAATATTCTTTGGCTTAGTGTGAATATCTGGACATTATAATTGCGGAAAGGTGTTAAGTGTACGTATCGGCCGCTGTTGCTAGATCCCGGATGGGTGACCACCCGGCATTTTTAGCAACAGATAGTCGCCACACATACTAACGTGTTTTAACCAACCGTTACTACTCACTACAAACAACCTACAAAAAAAAAAAAACAGCTAATGGTCAAAGTTGCTGGGCTCAAGCTCAAAAAAAAAAATCATTCATTCAAAAAAACTTATTACGAGATGTACAATACTAATAAGTTATATTAGATAGACGTGCCCGGTTAGTCATTAGGTTAGATCAAAAATAATATTTATATCATTTTTGTCGTTAAAAGTATATAATTGTGATAGTCACAATTTTGTGCAAATGATATCGGCTTCTATTTTCTGTATATAATATTATACTAATTACAGAAAATCATTGAAAACAGAAATATTATTACAAAAGAGAGACTGTCGTGACTTGTGTTACAGTTCTGTCTTAAATTTACTTTTTATATAGAGAACTTAAACGTAGGCTGAAATATTCATATCAGACTATCAGAGTATTTAGGGATACATAATTTTAAAAAAAGAATTATAATAATATACATATTATAGTGTTAAAAAAAATAAAAAATATTATAAAATAATAATAATAGATTTAAATAATATTATACAAAGATAATTTAATATGTATCCATAAAAATGTCAAAGACTCGTGGCATATATGTGCTTCAAATTGTTTACACGAGCAAGTGAGCTAGGTATGGCTCCATCCATAATATTTGGTATAAGCTTAAGGTGTCAAAAATCAAAGGAAAAACTTGATAATCAAACACTTAAGTTCGGCAACCGACTCAAGATCTTTTTATTCAAAGTGTCCTAATAAGTCATAAGAGGGTTAATTAGGTAAACCTATTATGGTTAGTGGATCCAATGGTGATGATAGACAACTATCATCACTGGTCGTGAGCTTTGCAATGATCTTTTCCTACTAACTATCAAGGTATTCGATATTGTAAACATAACAATGAAAGAAAATATTTAAATAATGGTTATTTTAGGTTAGGTTAGGATGGGAGAGGAAATTAGGCGTTAACTAATTATCATAGTTTTTAACACGGTCTTAAAGACTGCCAGCTAGAGTTGTACCAGTATAATTAAAAACTTAAATACAGAAAACTTTAATTCATGATTATTTTACAACAATGAACTAATAATAATATGTATTTTAAAATATAATAAAATATAATTTTATTAGGTTTTTATAAGATTTTAAATACTTATTAGTTTTTAAATATAAAATGTATAATAACTTAATATTATTTTAAATTAAACATTATTTTATGTCCTTCATAAATTACAATCACATGGTAGAGTCCGTAAAGGACCTCTTACTCATTTAATTATTTTGCATCCTTAATAAATTACATTAATTTTTATGCATCTTCTAATACATATATTACAGTGATACACCTCTGATCATAATAACTATTCGTTTATTATAATGTAAGCAATACCTAGTTTTTGGGTTGTAGTTAAAATGTACCTTCCAGCGTATTCTTTTGTTTAGTGTTAATTCACATGGGTTCCTCATAATCTAATTTGTTCGATTCATTTTACTCTAGTAGATCTATTTGTACAAAAGTTTTTAAACATTAACCGGCTATACCAGGGAATACAATGAGTACCTGTATACTTGCTATATAAAAGAAGATTTTTAGTTTCTCTCACGAGCACCATTCAATACATTTGTTTTTATTTATTTATTATCATTCTTTAATGAGCTAATAATCGTCAGTAGTTTTTCTATTTAAGATTCTGGACATTTAGTGTTTGAACAATTCAAAATGGCTTAATATCGTATAATTTTTTCTAATTTTTTTTTTTTTATTCTAAAATGCATTTGCCTGCGGGCGCCAACACCCCCCTTCAATTTTTTTTTCAGGAATTTGACTATAGTTGAATTTTTAGCACAGACATGTTTATTGATTACCTTCAGGTGGAATTTGTATTATCATACTTTAATGAGCTTATCATCGTCAGATTTTTTTCTGTTTAAGATTCTGGACATTTTAATTTGAGCTCTTTCACTTGTTTTCCTACTGTATAATTTTTTCAAAATTTTTTTTTGGTTTTCTAAAATGCAATTGCCTGCGGGCGCCAACACTCCCCTTCAATTTTTTTTTTAGGAATTTGACTCAAGTTGAATTTTTAGCACTGACTTGAATATTGATAACATCCAAGTGCCTTTTGTATTATCATACTATAATGAGCTTATCATCGTCAGATTTTTTTCTGTTTAAGATTCTGGACATTTTATTTTGAACTCTTTAATGTGTTTGCCTACTGTATAATTTTTTATAAATTTTTTTTTGGTTTTCTAAAATGCATATGCCTGCGGGCGCCTACACTCCCCTTCAACTTTTTTTTTAGGAATTTGACTCTAGTTGAATTTTTTGTATAGACTTCAAGACTTGAATATTGTTAACAAGCAGGTGCCCTCTGTATCATCATTCCTTAATGAGCTAATCATTGGCAATATTGTTTTTTCTGTTTAAGATTCTGGACATTTTATTTTGAACTCTTTAATGTGTTTGCCTACTGTATAATTTTTACTAATTTTTTTTTTTTTATTCTAAAATGCATTTGCCTGCGGGCGCCAACACCCCCCTTCAATTTTTTTTTCAGGAATATGACTCTGGTTAAATTGTTGGTATAGACTTGAATATTGTTAACAAGCAGGTGCCCTCTATATCATCATTCTTTAATGAGCTGAACATTGTGGATTGTTTTTTCTGTTTATGAATCTGTATATTGTAGTTTGAACTCATTGTTATGTGTTCTAATTGTATAATTTTTTCTTTTTTTTTTTTTTTGGTTTTCTCAAATGCAATTGCCTGCGGGCGCCAACACTCCCCTTCAATTTTTTTTTAGGAATTTGACTCTAGTTGAATTTTTAGCACAGACTTGAATATTGATAACATACAGGTCAACAGGTGCCTTTTGTATTATCATACTTTAATGAGCTTATCATCGTCAGATTTTTTTCTGTTTAAGATTCTGGACATTTTATTTTGAACTATTTAATGTGTTTGCCTACTGTATAATTTTTTATAAATTTTTTTTTGGTTTTCTAAAATGCATATGCCTGCGGGCGCCTACACTCCCCTTCAATTTTTTTTTCAGGAATTTGACTCTGGTTAAATTTTTATTATAGAATTGAATATTGTTAACAAGCAGGTGCCCTCTGTATCATCATTCCTTAATGAGCTAATCATTGGCAATATTGTTTTTTTCTGTTTAAAATTCTGGACATTTTATTTTGAACTCTTTAATGTGTTCTAATTGTATAATTTTTTCTAATTTTTTTTTTTTTTTATTCTAAAATGCATTTGCCTGCGGGCGCCAACACTCCCCTTCAATTTTTTTTCAGGAATTTGACTCTGGTTAAATTTTTGGTATAGACTTGAATATTGTTAACAAGCAGGTGCCCTCTGTATCATCATTCTTTAATGAGCTGAACATTGTGGATTGTTTTTTCTGTTTATGAATCTGAATATTGTAGTTTGAACTCATTGTTATGTGTTCTAATTGTATAATTTTTTTTTTTTTTTTTTTTTTGGTTTTCTAAAATGCAATTGCCCGCGGGCGCCAACACTCCCCTTCAATTTTTTTTTTAGGAATTTGACTCTAGTTGAATTTTTAGCACAGACTTGAATATTTATAACATCCAGGTGCCTTTTGTATTATCATTCTTCAATGAGCTAATCATTGTAAATTGTTTTTTCTGTTTATGAATCTGAATATTGTAGTTTGAACTCATTGTTATGTGTTCTAATTGTATAATTTTTTCTTTTTTTTCAGTTTTTAGACCTGTACTTGATGTATATGAGAACTTAGCCAAAACATCAATAATTTCAGGTTTTATTTCCATGTGTAGCAGACTAGCAATAGCTTCAATTAAGCTTAAAGTTTCTTGATTGAATCTTGAATCCATTGCCGATAATAAATCACCAAGAAGTTCATAATAAACTGATATCTTAATTTCATCTAATTTATTTAAAAAAAAAAATGAGATTTAGATTTGTTATCAATTTGAGTCGATACTTTTCTACGAATAACGTCTGGAACAATTATTCCATGTTATTTACATAAAGCAACTGCTTGTTCAAAAATATTTTCAAATTCTTTGTTTTCATTTCTCATACTTTTAAGATTTAATGTTAAAGACCGTACATTATCAATTGCCAACAAAAGATTTAGTTTTAGTGATTGAAGTACTGAGCTAACTTTTAAAATAAGATTTAATATTGGATGCATCATAAACATGCCAAAAATGAGCTCAAATCTTTTTTATGTATTGTTGTCATGGATGAGGATGACTTGGTGATACCCCAGTTCTCCTGTACTGATAAGCATGTTTGAGACATAGGGCGCTTCGGCCCTTGAAAAATCTCGGGGCGTGCCTGGGCACGCCCGGCACGCCCTGTGCGCACGCCTATGCATTCCTATACTTCCACGAACATTTAACTTCTAGAATATGACTTGAATTAACAAGTCCATCTGGTGTAGCACGCCACTAGCACCTAACAATCCACTATTTTATAACAACAGCCCAGTTGGTATTACATTTACATTTTGGTATTTTACTGGGGCCTTAATACCACAAACATCATTGGTATTACCCCATTGTACAGCATGCACACCTGTAATGTTATTATTATTTAATATTTTCCATTGTTTAAATAATGACTTTGGGAACTTATTTCTTTTACAAGCAGCTATCACTTTTCCAAAATTACTAGCTGTCAATCTATGTTGCCTATAATCACTATAATGAAACCATAAAAGATTTTTTTGCCGTCCTGTAGTGTCTTTAACCAACTGTAATATAGTACTGTCCAAGGTGGATTGATCAATCCACCTTGGTACTGTCATTAATATGGAGTTTAGTGTATAACAACTTTTTAAGAGAAATAAAAATATAAAATATTTTAACTAAACTTCTAATTTCTGGATCAAGAACTGACGCGGCCCGCGTTAGTAGCAAGTACAATGTACAAGCACTATAGCGACCAGTCTATCTTATCTCCAACCACCACCACGGGATGCAAGCAGCGCGACCGGGTTGACTCTCCCACCGAGCCGGTAACGGCAAGGTGGGACGGGGGGACTGTGTCGCGTAAGACGTACAACGGTCGGCGGAAAAGTCGATTCGAGATCCACCATCGGACCGTCGGACCGATAACATATCGTCCGACGTTAAACTCATCTGCCCGAGCGGCACGTCATGTATTGTTATATTTTGGTCGCAATATTATAATACATAATTTGTGACATTCTTAAAGTGTTTGTGTTGTGTTTATTTCATCACCTCAATCCTAACCAAACACTTCGACCGGACCACGATCAACCTTGAAGCAATCATCGTGTCCGCGTCAAATGGCTCCCCGCAGAGGAATTAGTCCGGTCAGCGAAAAGGTAAGAGTTTTTCACGTTGACACATACCTCGGATTATTTGCTTATATCATTTAGTATTGAGATATTTAACCAGGAGTGTGTTTTTTCCGGTTAGCTAGGATTTCCAATCTACCCAAGTTAGGATTACGTAATAGGTATTAACCATTAGGTATAACTCTGCTACGTAGGGGAAATCCGCGCGATCGAAAATAACCGTGATACGGAATGGGAAGCAGTTACATAACGTATTGCCACCCTTCCCGGCGCTCACCTTTCGTCCGCGACTTTATTGCCGATAACAGCGCAGCGTGCAGACCGCGACGACAAAACCAGTCGTCGTCACCGCCGCCGCCGCCGCCGCCGATTCCGTGACCTAGTTTCACACAATTTTGAGATCCCGTGGCCTATCAACCACCCGTCACCCGTACACGTTACCACTCGCACACACGATGGTTACCAGTCGGCTAGGTCGTTCGAGTAGGTACAACGTAGTCAGCGCCCAGCCGGGTTCAGTTACATTGCCACCTTAAATGAACGACCTTTTTCAACGACCACTCTGGTCAAACGGGAAGCGCGTCGCGCTACCCGTCATACGCCGCACGCGCGAAGGTACGATCGGTGTTAATACCGAGTTCTACGCGGAACAAGGGCCGAGCACCCTGTCCGGTTTTTAGCCAACACCGAGTCGTTACTCACGCAAGCGCGTAGACACTAAAACGTCCACACAATCACTTACGGAATTTGTGCTGATTTAAAACCAGCTCGCGCCCCGCACGTTAATACTGGCCTATCCGAATCGGAGTAGGTAGGTGTTATCGTCCGGCGAACGCGCGACACTTTCCGTAGGTACACATATCCGGCTACATATAACATTTACGTTCAGCGTGCTTCGACGCATAGCAGGCGTTTTGACTTCGTGTCGGATAATATCTCCACCCACGACCCACCTCTCGTCACCCATCATACCATATTTTCGGTAGTACGGACGGAGAAAAATTATGCCATCATCGCGCACGTAGTTCGGTAATTCGTAACGACGAAAAACCAACTACGAATTTTTCCGTCAACACACCACCTATCGGCACCCACTCTTAAATCCCAAACCTACACCACCCCACCACCCACCACACTCACCTCACCGGTGACACGTGTGGTCAACATCAACGGCTTATGGGGCAGCCGCAGGTGTAGGGACAAAGGTAACAGAGCCACGGGTGTTCACCTGCAAAGGTGATGGGGGCGCAAGCACACCAACTTCGCACACCCCCGCATTATAGGTCATTCTGTATACGTAAAGCATCAGGCGAGCACCGAGACAACCGACAGGGACAGTTTGGTCATGGCGGTCAACACCGACCACCAATCAGTCTCTGTCGCGGTTCAGAACCAGTTGCCCCGCTCGACCGATTGCAATACGTCTAATAACGTCACACGAACACGCCCGGACAAAATTCCGACCCACCGAGGTCGAACACGAATTTCCGTCAGGCTTCGTAACGGCGCTATTAGATCCACAGACCCAAATCGTACGTAAACCCGACCCATAGCCTGTAAATACGGCAAACCCCTCCACGGACCAACAAACACGGTCCGGATGGCAGACGGACACATGCAACAAACAGAGCAGTGCCACATGGATAACCAACGTCACGTCGCAGCCATACCAACGACAACGAGGCACCAAAGCACGAGGTCAACAACCAACACCACCTACCAGAGAGGGACTAGGAGGGTGTCAGCAAGGCAAGCTTACTTCAAGTCACATGGCAAGGGGTACCGCGAGCTGAACCACTTATCCACCGACAACAGTACGCTGTGGCACCCCGTATGGTGGTTTGGGGGGGGGAGTATGACGCGGCCCGCGCTAGTAGCAAGTACAATGTACAAGCACTATAGCGACCAGTCTATCTTATCTCCAACCACCACCACGGGATGCAAGCAGCGCGACCGGGTTGACTCTCCCACCGAGCCGGTAACGGCAAGGTGGGACGGGGGGACTGTGTCGCGTAAGACGTACAACGGTCGGCGGAAAAGTCGATTCGAGATCCACCATCGGACCGTCGGACCGATAACATATCGTCCGACGTTAAACTCATCTGCCCGAGCGGCACGTCATGTATTGTTATATTTTGGTCGCAATATTATAATACATAATTTGTGACATTCTTAAAGTGTTTGTGTTGTGTTTATTTCATCACCTCAATCCTAACCAAACACTTCGACCGGACCACGATCAACCTTGAAGCAATCATCGTGTCCGCGTCAGAACCATATTACAAATAGTCTCAACTAATATCACATTATTTTCAAATGGTTCTGTTTCAGGTTGTAACAACCAAGGAAAACCTACAGGTTCTGCTAAATAGTAAATTAGATGATTCCTCCTTAAAAATATTTATATCTGTTTCTGAAACAATGGCGTTTGGAAAATCATTACTATCCATGTATTTAATTAATGATTTTAATTTCTGTAGACAAATTATTTTTTCTAACACTCAACAAACAAAGTTTATCAGTTGAACTTAGATTATAATGAGTCTCTAGAAGGCAAGAGCATCTAGAATATTTTGTAATACAATCATCATTCATTAAAATTTCAACCTTATATGGACTACCCATACTAGGTTTCCCTAGACTTTCCCTACAATTATACCTAGATTAGGATCCATTTGAAGTTTAAGTACAAATTCTGAATGTTCCATATTATTATCTAGTTTATAACAGTTGCTAGTTCCAAATAATAAACAGTAGGTACCTAAATAAGCAATAACTATATGCAAACTAAATATCTAAATTGAACTAAGTTATTGAACAGTTATTTAATTCGAATTCAGCTATGTTGTATACGCTTATTGTAAGTTGTAGTAGTCACTGGTCCGAAGTAGGCAAGTAGCGCAAGTGGCAAGTGCAGTACGAGTACCTACTGTCCTACTACCTAGTGACTAGTGAGTACTTCATAATAACACTTTCGTTGACCGTCATCTTCTATCCCCGACCGCCGCTGTTGCAGAGCGCCTTAATCTTTATCCGCAGCCCTCTCAAATAATTTCACGGTATTAGACATTAGTGTGATTAGTTCAAAAATTATAACGAATCAACCTATTATGAAACTTATCGTAAGATTTTAAGAACATTATCTGTGTTCGTTATTTCGTATTATCGTGCTAACGATAATCCAATTTTTGGAAAGGTTTGCGAATCAGGCCCATGCGCAGTATTTCAGAATGGGGGGCAAATAGTATTATAACATATTTATATTTATTATTATTTTGTAAGTACCTATAACCTATATATTAAAAGTGTTTCTTAACAACACTATAAAATACAAATCATTTTTTTAATAAATTTACATGACGAAGGACAGATCGTTGTGTATGATTATAAATAGGGCTAGGATTTATTTGCAATAAAAAATTATTAAATATGCATTTGGTTTATTAAAAATATGCAAAAATATGCTTAAATAAACCAAATAAATATTATTTAAAAAACACATTTTCTATAAATTTTTTTTAAATACCACCCACAAAAAGGGCGGGTAACCTCAATAATTCAAAACATTAAACATTTAACAATATAATGATAAATCCTATTTTGTCACAAAAATAATATACAATTACTATTTTACATATCTCAAGATTTTAACGTAGGTACCCTTGTATTGTGGCTCACACAATAGTACCACATAGGATATTACTATATTAGTACCTACATTGTACAATGTACGTAGTGCCATTTTACTTAGTAATTAGTTTCCGTTTTATAAATTGTATATTAAACCGCTTCACTTGTTTTTCAATCTTCTCGCTAATACCTATAACTGTCGAAACTAATTGTTATACAACCTTTAAATAAAAAAAAATATTAAAGCTCTAGTCGATTAAGCCATTGCGGTAATTACAGGACTCATCTAATAAAATAAATCAACGGTTTTATATCTTCTTTTTACCTTCTAAGCGACATGCTACTTTTGGAGACCGGCCTCATTGCGCATGTCAAGGTGTCGAAGATGGTTTTTGGTTAACTAGACAAGTCCAGTTTCCCCAAGGGTTGGGGGGGGAGTAGGTAATTACTGGCCGGCTTGATCCAGAGTCCTGACGCCACCACACACAGAGATGCACAGGATTCATGTAATAATTCATAATTTCTTACTTAGCTGCCTACTTGTTAGTTTTTACACACACATACAAGAATTTTTTTTGAAACACATAATTTATTAAATATTTATTTAATTAATTGTGAATTTAAATTAAAATAGATTTTATTCAACTTATATTATATTATATTGTATTTAAATACATACAAATAATGTATACAAATAAATCTATTCAGAAAGTACCTATTTAAGAACAATTAATACAAATAATTGGCATGCATTTAAATACTTTTGAAATACTTATTTCATTTTACTTAATAAAAGTCGCATTTTTGTATTGAACGTAAAAAAATTAACAATTCATTACTTGTAAACAATTATT